GCAATGTATTCCCCCATCTCTTTGGGCCTCGTCAGGTGCTCTGCCCAGCTAGTAGGGGGAATGGAACCAACCCTCCAATCAGTGCTGGACCCCTTATTTGCTGCAGGGAGTATCCAGAGATCAGCAGGGGCTGTGTCCTGCACCAGACCACGACTCAAGGGCACACGCAAGATCCTTTGGTCAGTTTCTATCGACCCACTGGGCACCTTTTTCCTAAATGGAAAGCCCCATTCAGGTGCTCTGCCCAGCTAGTAGGGGGAATGGAACCAACCCTCCAATCAGTGCTGGACCCCTTATTTGCTGCAGGGAGTATCCAGAGATCAGCAGGGGCTGTGTCCTGCACCAGACCACGACTCAAGGGCACACGCAAGATCCTTTGGTCAGTTTCTATCGACCCACTGGGCACCTTTTTCCTAAATGGAAAGCCCCATTAATCCCGGTTCTCTGATTCCCTTGGCAGAAGAGCTGGTCGCATTATCCCAGATCCTAGACCCTCTTCCGGTCTTCTTGCCCCGGTTAACATGCTGAACCTTGCGATAGTTCTCTGCTACCTATCGGGACGGATTTCGGCACGGGTTGGGTGAAGGAGGGGATGGGACTGAGTGCACGGGCTACATCAAAGGGGTGGGAGAAAGAGAGATCAAAGCATCCTCTGCACAGAGCTTTACCTGAGGGTGTTCCGACATGTAGAGTTTTGGAAGCAGGCTCACCATGACACAGACAGCCCCGGGATGTACAATGGCACAGTCTCCCGCTTCCGACCTGCAGGGAAGAGTTGAGGAGGAACTGTAACAGCATTGCAGGCAAGGTCAGCTCGCATCCCGGCCGACAACCCCGTTGCTCTTGGCTTGCGTTGACCAAAGTCAGGGCTAAACACTAAACCAATGGATCATCAACCTGGGATGGTCTGAAGCACCGCCCGGGCACATGCAGGCCACGAAAGGTACAGACAAACGTAGTTCTGACTTCATGGATCCTGGGCCTAAAGACGCCCAGGTTTGCAGAGCTGGTTTTCAAATGAGCTCCGAGTTTAAGAATTCGCTCAACAAAAAGTCACTGATGCGGTGCCCACATACTCTGTCGGAGACCCCACGATCATGACCGAGGCTCTAGCATGGATCAAAATCTCCAGGATTCCCCAGAGTAAAGCAGCAAGCTGGGAAATGACCAGATGTGGATAAGAACATAGGAACGGCCGTACTGGATCCGACCAAAGGTCCATCTAGCCCAGTAGCCTGTCTGCCGACAGTGGCCAGCACCAGGTGCCCCAGAGGGGGTGGACCGAAGACAATGATCAAGCGATTTGTCTCCTGCCGTCCTTTTCCAGCCCCTGACAAACAGAGGCCAGGGACACCATTTCTATCCCCTGGCTAATAGCCTTTTATGGACCTAATCTCCATGAAATTATCTAGTTTCTCTTTAAACTCTGTTATAGTCCTAGCCTTCACAGCCTCCTCTGGCAAGGAGTTCCACAGGTTGACTACACGCTGTGTGAAGAAGAACTTTATTTTATTCGTTTTAAACCTGCTACCCATTAATTTCATTTGGTGTCCTCTAGTTCTTCTATTATGGGAACTAAGAAATAATTTTTCTTTATCGGCCCTCTCCACACCACTCATGATTTTATATACCTCTATCATGTCCCCCCTCAGTCTCCTCTTTTCTAAACTGAAAAGTCCCAGTCGCTTTAACCTCTCCTCATATGGGACCCGTTCCAAACCCCTAATCATTTTAGTTGCCCTTTTCTGAACCCTTTCCAAAATATCTTTTTTGAGGTGATCAGCATGCCTTCCTCTGCAACTAAACCCTTCCCCAGCCATCAGATCAACTCAGCACCCGCGAGAGGGGAAGAAAAAATGCCCAACTAGCTATTTTTCCCCACCATTTTTCATTTTTGCCACATGCCTATGCTCCGAGAGCTGCTTTTCTTCGAGATTTGTAGCCTAGACATTGCAAGCTGAGGATGTTTGGACGATCACCAAAATTTCTAGGTGCGCCTTTGAACTGGGACGTCAGCCAGCTGCCGGACGTGGGCTGTAGGGTGTTATCAGATACACTGGCCTTTCCAAACCGGTCCTAGGAAAGGAAATCCGCACAGTACCCGACACCACTGATCGGAGGGTGAAAAACAACACAGCAAGCACCGTCACACTGTGTAAAATGGGAAGAATAAATAACAGGAGGGGCATAAAGAGAGCGTGAAAATGAAACTGATCTAGAATAATGTCTGTAATAAACAGTTTGCCATTTCCAGGAGCCCCCGCTCACAGATCAGTGCGCAGTGACTCCCATGACACCCTGCCCCACGGTGACCAATGACTAGGATGGCACCCTAGAGGCACATGCTGTCCTAAATGGTGCTGCGAGGCAAAAATGAATTGTTTGTAATTCTGCAAGTGCTAGGAGTCCAATTCCTCTCCCGTGTAAAAGCAGCAGCTCCACCGATTCGACCACTGCACCTGGGAGGGTGTTTGATGCTATACTAGCAAGAGGCTGTAGGGAACAGCTGGAAAGCCAGGCACTCAGAGGCTCAAAACCTGAGGGGAGGGGGCGAAGAAGCTAAATTCATTCTTTTTAAAAATCATGAGGCTTTTAAAGCCTCTTTCTTGATTTTTGTAGAGGCTGAGCTCTCATTTCCGAATGCTGTGGGTTGATGATACTGGCCAAGTGCCTGGCAGTGCCGTAATTATGGATGGGACAGAGCACAAAGATGGAGCAATCTCCATCTCTGCCCATCCGAGAACTGCACCTCCAAAACCTACATCCACCTCTCCCTTTCCATTATCTTGAATCTCTGCCCATCCAAGAACTGCACCTCCAAAATCTACATCCACCTCTCCCTTTCCATTATCTTCTCTCCCCTCCCTTCCCTTCCCCACCATCAGCCAAGAGACCTGTTGTGATTCTTGGACTTACAAAGTGACCCTCAGTTCGGCTGTAAGGGGTACGTGAAGGTTCACAGGATGCTACAATAACCATGAAAAATAGGCCGAGTTGTTTTCAATAAATAACTTGGCTCGGCTGTAAGGGGTATGTGAAGGTTCACAGGATGCTACAATAACCACGAAAAATAGGCCGAGTTGTTTTCAATAAATAACTGTTATAATAAAACCAGATGGAGAAATGGTACGAACCCAATGGAAACAGCTACGGATAGATACTGCGGGGCGAGGCCATACTTGGTAAACAAAACAATATTTGGGAACCGAGTTACTATGGCAAGCTAAAACAACGAGGAGTCAGATGCATCTGATGAAGGGCTTTTAACCCACCAAAACTTATGCCCAAATCAATCTGTTGGTCTTTAAGGTACCACAAGACTTCTTGTTTGGGAAGATACAGGCTAACATGGCCGCGCCGCTGAGACTATGCCAAGCTGGGACTGGTGAAAATTGACTTAATCAGTGGACAAAATAACGAAGATACGCACCGCTGAGACTATGCCAAGCTGGGACTCAAGCTAAAACAACGAGGAGTCAGATGCATCTGATGAAGGGCTTTTAACCCACCAAAACTTATGCCCAAATCAATCTGTTGGTCTTTAAGGTACCACAAGACTTCTTGTTTGGGAAGATACAGGCTAACATGGCCGCGCCGCGGTGGAAATAGACTTAATCAGTGGACAAAATAACGAAGATAAATGATGCCACCCTCTTTTACTCCTTTTGGGGGCTCTCAAGACGACCCTGTGAGGGGTGAATAAAAAGAATTCGTCTTCCCTCCACTCCTCTCCCAACCTGTCAGCACCACAGCTCATCTCGACCCATCGAAGGGACTTTCTTCCTGACAGAGGGGCCTTTGGCCTTGTTCTTGCTTCATGAACTTTGGCTCAGGTTCATCTGGGGAAGTGGGTTTTACCCACCACAGCTCATGATCCTATACCACAGGACTCCTCGTTGTTTGTAAAGTTATAGACTCACATGGCGGCCTCATGGAGACTTTGTTTGCAACTGTGCATGTGGAAAGTCCTCCCATTAAAATCCCCACTCCTTGGCCCGCCAGGGGCGAGATTGCATGACCAGCACCACCCCAGCTCGTGAGATCTGATGTTGTGTTCCTTTCCCTAGTGACGTGACTCTCTCACCCTGCTATTTCCTTCCTCCTGCCCTGTCTTACTCTTTTGGCTGTGCATCAGATCCTAAAGCCAACTATTCATCCAAACCTGTCCTGTCGAAGGAGAAGCATCGGACCAGACAACAATCCTAACCAGACCGTAACTAACCAGGATCAAAGCAGCAGGCCAAAGCATCCATCCACTTGTAACTAACCAGTGGGCCAGAGTTCCAGAGACATGAACAGAAGCTGTATTTCTCCTGTCTCCCCTCCTCCTTGGTCAGAGCGCAGTAAAGCTCACCCTTCCCTTTCCCTCAGAGAGAAAACGAGAGTCGGATATTCTAGCTCCAACAGGGAAGAGACTTTGAGAAGGGCTGACTGTCAGGTGTGCATAGGGTTACCAGGTGGCTTCATAAAAAAATATTGGACACACTTGATCTCAGATGGGGGTGGGGGGAGCGGCCGGGTGGGGGGCAGGGCTGGCCGGGAGCAGGTGGGGAGGGTGGGGAACCGGCCTGATACTCCTAATAATACTAAAATCTACCTAATTAAAAAATACTGGACATTTTCTATGTCCGGTATTTTCTCACTGTTTCCCAGACAGAACCCTCAAATACGGACTGTTCGGTTCAAATCCGGACACCTGGCAACCCTAGGTGTGCACAGGCACTCACTGTGGTTTCAATAGAAATGTGAGATTTCACTTTGGGCGCTAAATCAGTAGCGTCACTCGGAATGAGGGCTCTCTAGCGCTGGAAATGAGGAAAACGAGGGGCTCTGTTTAAAAACACCCCTGCACCTGCTAGGGTCGCCAGCCCTCCAGGGTCGTCCGGGAGTCTCCAGGAATTAAAAGATGGATCTTTAATGAACGATCGTGTCATGGAATGAAGCCCAGGGAATACGTGTTCCACCAACGCTGCCTATCGCTGTTTAACGTTGGGGAGTGGAAGGATTTAACTCTCTGGGCCTTTCGGAGCCATGTCAATACAACATCTCCTCCCCTTCCCTCGGGATCGTCCGCTAGGCCTCAGCCCTATCTCCCCCTCCTCCCTCACCCCCCATGATCTACAGATAGGCCCCATCTCCCTGCCTGCCACTCTCCGAAAGGCTGCGGCCCCCTCCCCACTGGACGGCCCTCAGGTGCCCCCATGCAGCAGATCCCAAATCTGCTCGGGAGGCTCCGCTGTTTAAACCGCAGGCAGAGGGGCGCA